TGAGCAACTTATGATCCTTACTATTAACCTTTATATATATTTGGCTTTGCATATATTTCATATACCTGTTTCGGATATTTTTATATTTGTACCTTAATAATATTTCATTGTTTGCACTTTTTCCTACCTTTTACTGCAACTATTGCACCACAATGTCCCTCAGGATAAATCAAGTTCTATCTTCTCTTATTATTAATCATTTTGAAAAACATGTTAATTCCTTAAAAATGTTACAGAAACATAATCTTTAAAATGATACAATAGCTTTCTTTTAAGTTCAGTAGAGCTATGTGCTTTTGGATAATTCGATTTAATGTGTTTATTAAGCATATTACTACTGTATGTTTTTATTTGTACAATATGTGGAAACTGTGATAAACCTCAACAGGCTGGAGGTCTTAACAGGCAATGTGATGGTTACTGCAAACATCTCACACAGCCATTGGACTAATATCACAAGTGTGGGTACTGAGACGGACCCTTAATCTTCTGCAACGATGAAACTATTCTGCAGCAAACAGTTTAAAAGGTGATCAAGGCTTCCCATTGGAATAAAGAAACATCATGCAACACAGTGATTATTCATGTGACTGTATACTGCTGTGATTATCACAGGGCGACGATAAAAGAATACAAAACAAACAACGGGACTAAATGTTGCTCTAAATACAAAAACACTTTTAAAAAAGCGCAAAAATGAACTGTATGAGTGATGTCACCTGTCTAATTACAGGCATTTATTTCAAGGTAACATATAATGGACATAAAGTATCCACAGCTTTTATCACGGGGTAAAGATCTTAAAATAAATGATGACTGTGAGAGAAGAGGTGAACTGATTTTGTTCTTTCCTTCTGTAAATGTAACACACTGCTTCCTCCAAACAAGGGTCTGATTTACTGAAACAAACCAGGACAATATTAAAAGATCCTATATTGATGCTATCATTTATGTCAATTGTCAGTAAAAAACGTGTGAGGAGAAATTGATCTTTTTAAGATTAGGATTTGATCAATATGTAAAATACTGGAAAAAAGGACTACATATACTGTATGTGCCTACAGGACATTAAACTACTTTTCTGAAATAATAAATGACAATAAAGGAAAAACTAAATAAATGAATAGTAAACTATATATCAACTTCCACACATTATAAACACACAGTAGTGGCTGACTCCCCTTTCCCATTCTTAGAGACTTGTTTTCATGTGATGGCAGTTTAGTCATTGTGTTTTTATATTCTATATTACTTAATTGAGTTATTTAATTTCCTTTTATCTCTCACCTTGCTCCTTTTTAAACTCGTTCTCTGTCAGGAAGACGGGCCTCATCAGCTCCCCAACAGGCGGCTGAATCGAGACGAAGAATTTCTTGGTGTGAGTGCTGAAAAGGGACATTTCAGGAATTCTGATTATTTTTCTAAAAGAACAGCGGAATTTCTGAACTTGTTATAATATTGTCTGTTTTTTTTTGTTTCCTCGGTGCTGCACACAGGGCACAAATGCCCCTACAGAAGTGAGTGTTATTTCAAAACTCAGCAAATTTATTTAAAAAAAATCTCCATTACATCATCAGTCATGTTTCTATTTCCACACAGTACTTCTATTAGAGGACTGCAGGGTGCTGAAACACTAAAACACAGAATCCATCTCACCAAAGCTGGAAGTTCGCCGCTTGTGTTGAGTCACAGAAATCGATGCCCATCACAGCTGCGGCCGTCTCACCTGCTGGCAGCAGCTCTGTCAACACACCGCAACAAAAACGCCTCTTAAGTCAGCAACTCTTTGATCTGAGATTAAACACGTGTCCTTCGCCGCCGACTGTGTGGTGTCTTACATGAGATTCACAGAAAAATCGAACATCCCAATTCCATTACTACATACCAACCCCAAACAGGTTTTGATCAAAAAGGAGAAGTGTGGTCAGTATGGATACTAAGAAAGACAGTTTGGAGTGGGCAAATAAGTTCAAATCAATTGTGAATGGTGGGGACACAGCTCCAATATAACAGTTTATAACATAACATAACATTTTTATCCCCACTACTGGTAGAACAATAGGAATTACTAAGTAACACTGCAGCTTCTGCTAGGTTTGTTTTTAATAACAGCAACATAAATACTAATGTCCCTTCAGTCCCCTTCAGCCTGTCACTCACCAATCTCTGGAAACTCTTTGACCCTCATCCCAGACTGGAGCTTCACGTCCTCCATGTGCAGGTTCTTGGTGTCGGAGGTGGCGTTGTTGGTGAACTGCATCTGCACTGCCACCATGTTCGCGTCAGGGCTGAACGGCTGTCGGTTGAAGCAGTATTCAACCGACAGACCCTCCCCTGTAATCCGGTGCAGCAGCTCATAGTTCTTCAGTGCACTGGAGGGAGCGATGGTCTGCAGGCAGAGGACGTGATGAAGAATCGTTAATGCTAAGAGCTTTATTTCAGAAAGGGTTGATGTCAGTTAGCATCAGCTACATTTTTCATTGTATTTAGTAAATATCCTCATTTAGGTATTCACACTAGCACTGATTGGTACATTGATTTGTTAGGAAGTGTTTAGACTTTCTTTCTTTGTTCAAATATCTTTTCATTCACTTTCTTGGTCTTGGTGGTGAGTGGGGAATCCAGGTCACATGATACCCTTTTTTAAAACTTGTTCATACAAACTTATTTAGTTTGGGTCTGTGTTTCTTGGTTAAGTGGTAAGAAAGATAAACTCACAGCCATGCTGGCACTGGGTTTTCCACAATACTCTTTGTTTATTACTAACAACCTTATCAAGCCTGGTTGTACAGCTACTAATTTATAGTACATGAACAAAACAGAAGCCACACATAGTCCAAACGTTACGCTTGAGTTGAGAGGCAAAAGAAAAACAGGAGCTAAGCAACAGGCATCCATTCGCAGCAGGTACACCGCTCAAGGTCTTATTACATTTCTCTCATATATAGGCAACACAGTATCTACAAACAGTGGCTGTAAGACTATGAAGGCATTTTCTTCAGGATCTCAAACAACTTCAAATCAAGTCATTTAACATTACCTGACATACAAATCCTGGCTGGAATAACAAGTTATTGTTGTGGCTTAATTGTTTAACCTACTGATTCTCTCCTACTGGACTTAGGAAATGGTTTCTGATCTGTGACTTTCAGTCGTGTGGAGAGTTATTTACAACTAGTCAACACTGGGGTGACTGAGGGTGAAGTGGTATAATTCGGACAAAACCAAAGAGAGATGATCTTATTTATATTGGAATACATTATTTTTGCCTTTGGATGAACAGATCCTTTCCATCATTTGAACTATCTGGTTCATCCTGTTTAGAGGATTTCACGGTGCTCACAGAGTTTTAACATTTTGACTTTAATAACTGGCACCTTCAATATTTTTTCAATCCGTCGGTACAGACAGGACACTAATGTCAACATTTTAAATATTTATTGCAGCAATATCCATTTTAGTTTGGCACTGTGACTGTTGCTCTGCAACACATCTGAGCAGGCTTGACACAGACTGTTCCTGAGCTCACATACCCCACTGACAGAGACACACAACATTTAACCAACATAAATACATCACTAAAAAAATTCAAAATTCACATACAACTAAATGCTAATACAGGAGGAGGTCTGGGTAAGTAGGCAACAGTGTAGCAGTGAGGATAAAGGACTCAATATTGTTGTATATGGTATATTGTATCTATCTATCTTGTATTGCATCATCTTTTCGAGAATAGAGTTAAGATGTTAAGCAGGAAGATGAAGGAAAGGTAAAGTACTTACTGCCGGGGAAAGAACGGTGTCAGACAAAGACAGTCCCTCCAGGTCGGTCACAAGGCTGTTGGATAGGAAGGTGTTGATGGGTGTGACTTGAGGAGAAGGAGCAGGTTCAACTGGGAAGAGAGACAAGGGTTTGACCTGACTGTATTCATTCATCAGGTTTTTTCTTATAGTTCCTTGATTACCAGAATAACTGGTTATTGGGATTTTTGGAAATAATCACATGGTTTGCAAACGTCTTTGTCCATTGACTGAGGTGAGCGCCATTACTTTTATATTCGCTTTCACAGCAGAAAGCGTACAGCGACAGAAATACTCACAATCATCAAGGTCGAGCAGAGACATTTCTTTCTTTTCTTTCTTGTTCTCTTTCTTGACAGGTTTGGAAGGAGGTTTAGATTCAGGTGTCTGCAAGGAGATGAAAGAAAACTGACATGAATCGTTGTAGGTTTTTATGTTCCTGTGTGCAGGTAGAGCAGCAAATACAGGAATGTTTGCTCAAAGTCAAACATAAGAAGACTGGTTTTACTTTTGTTTTATTCAGATACAGATAAGGTCCTGATTTCACCTGCTTGTATTAATGTGGACGCAGTATCAATACCTTTTTTTTCTTTTTGATTTCTGCCTCAGACTCAGAGTCTTCAGACTCCGATTGGCTGCTTTCAGACTCGCTCTCCTCTTCGTCAGATTCAGACTCTGAGTCGCTCTTACGTTGTTTACTCTTCCTCTCGGGCTTCCTCTCTTCTTCTTCACTGCTCTGCTCGCTGAAAAGGAAAGCAAAGTTCCCATTAGAATCCCAGAGTTATTATTAGAAGCGATGTATAATAGAACTACTTATTAAACTATACAGGATCTGCACGAGGGCACCCAGAAGAGAGTAAAGTGACCACACAAATACAGCATTCAATATAAAATGAAGGCATGTGAAAAAGTAAAGATATTTGACTCAGCATCTAAGGATCATAAATTTAACATTAATTTAGACATTAAGATCAAAAATTTAATTCAAAAGGAGTCACATGTTCTCTTTTTATCTACATCAGTGTCAATGACAACAGTCCATGTGCTACCTTTCGCTTTCTTGCACCGGCTTCTTCAATTCTTTCTTTTTCTTCTTCTTGTTCTTTTCCTCCTCATCCTCCTCCTCTTCCTCAGACTCAGAGCCTTCCTCGCTCTCTACGCTCTCTGATCCCGATCCACTCTCCTCGCTGGCGCTGGCGCTTTCCGAGCCGCTGGCAGAGTCCGACTCTGACGGGGAAAAGGGTCAGAGGGTAAACAACATATCCAGTGACATATATTTACATACAAACACCTCCAGAGACAAACACAAGAGCTTTACAGGAACCACGAGACAATTTTCCTCATTCGAAAGAATCAAGATCACACTCACAAGAGTCACCTCTTATATAACTTCTTTATCTGTGAGGTCATTATTTGCTCCTTGACATTCACCAATGAAAAAAATCAATTTTTTATTAACCCTTTTATTATTAATGGCTCAGACACATTTTTTCTTTCCAGGGGCAAGTTAGAATAAAAAAGATTAAGCGGCACTACTGACTTTCACAGATTTTAAGTTTCTCAGGTCGTTCCTGAGGCACAAACAAAAATAACTAAAGACAGAAATTGGAGTTTGGTGCAAGTCATGGATGGCTTGTATTAACATCAGTAAAGGTATAGGTTTATTTTTTATCTTTACAAAGACTAGACTATCAGATGTAAACTGACATTTAATGTTTTGCTATGTCTTTTATTTATAAGTACTAAAATACTACTTCTATTAGTACTACTTCAGTAGATGATACTAAATGGACTCTACTAACAAAGTGCTGTTTACAACATGCCACATTCACACCGTGGTCCATCACAAAGGGAAACTAATTCACTCATATACATCCATACACCAATGCACAGCATCGAACAGCCGACCTTCTGATTAGTGGACGACCTGTTGAACTCCTGAGCGCACCAAGCCCATCCCCCACCATGTACCACCATCACTGTAGGTTGCACAGTGTTTCAGCAAAAATCTCATGCTCACACACACAAACACATCTGTTGTGGACACTACTCATTTGACTAAAGAACGTGATGGCACCAACGCAGCCAGCAGCCCCTTAAAGTTACCACTGTCAGCCGACTCTGTCGGCCCAGACTCGCCCTCCGAGTCCGAGTAGAACGGCTTCTCCACTTTCTTCTCCTTTCTCTTCTCTCGGCTGCTGCATTTGGTCCATTCGGGCACCTGGCAGAGGAAGCAAAAGTGTAAACAGTAAGCCGTCAGCTGTGCTTCAGTGAAATACCCCTCAGACAGAAGCAGAGACGTGGGCAGATTACAGTAGCATGGCCATGAATGCCTCTGCCTGGGCGTGATGCAGCCAAATGAAGCCAGCCATCAGATCTGCTTTTAGATCTGACAGTCAGAGAACAATTTCAGTACGGACACTAATGCTTGTATGGAGGTTTTGTTTTGCACAGATAGATGTTAGCACCAGGTGATGCCTTCATGACCAGTTGCAGAAATGGCTTTCTTTAAATACAAGGAGCAGTTCCATTAAGAGAAGTGATGTCTTTGAGGAGTGGTGACTATCCTCCCACACGCCTGTCTGTCTCGCTCTTTCTGTGACCAAACTCATTAACTAGAGCCATCAGCTAATGAGTGTAGACATCCCCAACCCCCGTTTAAATCCCACAAGGCTGCTAATGCAACTCGACGTGTCAGAGGACCGCACGCCCTGCTAAAAGAATCACTTCTTTAATGGTAGAGACCGAGGAAGAGGGTGCTGTGTTTTAGGTAGCTTTGGCTGGGCTAAGCACAGGACAGCAACTACGTTAGGCGGGGTGTCAAAAAGCACTCGGGTTTTGCCGCTATATGGGTTTGAGGCTCAAGGTGGGCTCTTTGCCACTAACTGACTCACACTCGTTAATGTTGTGACTCTTTCAAGCAGCGTAAAAACCTGGCAGATGTAGAAAAGAAAAAGATTGGGATGTAGGTGAGATAAGGAAGAGAGAAACAGGCACAGGAAGGTTTTCTGGGTCTAAAAAGAAGACGTGTGAGAACAGTTGCTGATATCACAGAGACAAAAATAAACCCCAGATTTCATCACAGTATACTTATTTACCACAATATCTGGCAATAGATAGCTAATAAAATTATCAAAGGAAAGTGTTTGTTTTCTTCTGATAAAAATGAATACACTCCAATATAACTTAATTATACTCTATATACTTAAATATATACTGAGATAAAGAAATAAAAAGTCAACATTAACATTCACTACTTACTAATACGTCAAGCCAATACAGGACAATGCATTTAGTATAAATGTCTTCACCAGTGACAAAGCAGGATGTTGTACTAGTATGGAATAAAATGAGCTAAATGAAGAGTGAAAGGGGTGGAACAGGAGAGGGAAACCACGTCACTCCGTATCACACAACAACATTTGTGACACATTTACAAACCGTGTCACAAATTTCACGTGAGACCAATCAGGTGCAGAAGAGGAAACAGTGCATGCAGTGGCGTCAACAGATGGCGTTTCTTTTATTCTGGACATTTATATGGCCTCTTGTATGAATTAGTGAGCAAGTGGACCTTGAGCGCAGATTGTTTTATCAACTGCAGTTTTCAATGTCAAAAATATAAATGTCAATCTCACCTTATGAGTCCTTAAAGTGCTCGGACTAATGGTAGAATTATATAATATAATGGAAAGTTTAAACACCTAGAACAGTTCTTTCACCCGCTGACGAAGACCATGGGATATGGTCAAAAGCTCCAGGACACACAAGTAAGTGTCTCTTGAGTTGAGGCTGTTAAATTCTGTTTCTAAGGTAGAGCATGAACTGTCAAGCTAAGTTTTCTAATCCTTTCCACTGTTTTCATTTGCTACTCGAATCAGCTTCATCTTTAAGATTTAGCATCAGCTCTTATTCCACATCTTCAATTCTACAATCGTCATGTTTTTAAAGAGGATAAGGAATCATCTCTTCCCACTTGGGACAAAGACGGCTGTCGCGTCTACCCTTTGTTAATCTGCAGTGATTCGGTGAGTAAAATCTTATTAATCTTATCTCGTCAACTTGACCATCATCGGTTATTACATTTTGACAAGCAGACAGAGATCAAATGAAGAGAGGAAAAAAACAAACACCACTGCACTCCCAAACTGAGGGAGGGGGGCACCTCTCGCCATTCTCCTAGCAAGCCGATCCGCCCCTCGCTGGTGGTTACGACTTCCTCTATCTGTGGAGGTGCATAATGTGCAGAGGGAGAGCCGGTCAGAGAGGATCCACTGACCCCTTCTTAACCCACAACATGAGTGGATGTAAAGGGACGCTCAGTTCACTTCAAGGACCATACCAGAGGTTTTTGCTTATTAGTGCTCTTTAACTACAATTAATGTATGTTATAATATATATCTATAGATTCCCACCTTCCAGGCTGTCTATTGTTTTTCATGCAGTTGAATACACTTTGAAAGACTGTCAGATGTCTGAGTCGTGTTTGAGACCCCACAGATCTGTCCGATGAGTTCAAATATCCCTTCATCATCACCATCCATCATGTTTAAATGTCATTTTGAGTGGATTTTACTGGATGTTATTTAATGGTAATAATTATTTCATTAAACTGGATATGGTAAAAATATCTTTTCATACAATTTCCCTGTCCATGCACCTCCTGCAAACTGCAGATAAACTCCCTGGGGTAAACATATTGCCCTGGCTGGCAATAAATGCTGTATTAGACAGACCGATCACAGTGGTTTCATTTTTTTGACATTATTACTGCGTGGTAATGCATTTTCAAATAGGGAGTACTTTGAAAACACTCCTTCACAGTGTATTCAGTGCGTTTCCAAAGAATATTTTAGGCGCTGCTGCTGAAATACATGTTCCTCTTAAATCCAGATTAAATTTTAGCCTCAAGATTTAAGAGTGAAAAACGCCAGCTGAGAATTAATTGATCCACACCAGATGTAAGACCTATCTGCAAAGGCATAAACCATCGCCTCTCCAAACACCCAATTTTTAATGCCCAGCTGCCATGTTTTTCCAGTTTTAAAACGGCAAGCAAAGACCAAAATACAGCAAGTGTGTGTGTGTGTGTTCAGACAGGTGTGGAAAGAGTTCATGTTGGTGTGTGAGCTGACGTCAACAGCTAATGTAATCTGATCCCTCCCAGACACACAAGTAAAAATGGGTTATGGCATTGAAAACCTAATTAAAGTTATGAGGTATGTAGTCAGAAAATCAATCAGATTTTGGAGCTTCTTTAAATGCACCTTGAGGAAGAGTTTTCAAAACAGTGTCGGCTCAAAACTGCATTATCACATGATATAAACTCACTCTGATACAATAAATGTAAGAAATTGTTCCCTGAGATGGATCTGCTTTCTCAATAAAGGTTCAACTCACTGCAAAAGAAACAAATATGTGTCTGGAAGGTGGGGAATCAAATTAGAGGTGAATGCTTAAAGGCATTGGAAGATGGTCGACAGTAATATAACTAATTTTCTTATTTAGCATATCACGTACTAAACTCCTGGTATGGTCGTTTACAAGCCTGTCTCTTGTGCACCACCTGTTAAATAAAAACTCAATGCACCTGTGGCCTCATCTTGAAATCTGCATCACAAGTAAATGAAAAGTTAACACTGGGTATGGGACATTGAGCTGTGAGTAAAAAACACCATATTAGCAATAATTATAACAAATATGACGACAAAATCAAGACTTGCAGTCACTTCTGAACTTTAAAATCAAGTGGTTTTAAAGTAAAATTTTGATTTTGACAAAGAAGTGACGCACTCAAGTTTTGATTTAATGTCTTCATTTAGATCACATTGTTGGGTATGAACCGATGGCACATGGGCTGAATGTGAAGGAGAAGAAGAGGAGGGAATTTGGTGAGTTGGGATGATGTATTGTGTACCCTCAGATCAAATTAAAGTTTGTTCAGCTGTAGTCTAGTAGAGTAGAAGTTGTGTTTCTACTTGAAAATTTAAATAGATTGATTCCAGATGCCTAATATCAACGAGTCCCCCTCTTAGGTCGACCTCTAGCAGAGACCACAGGGAAGTGGTTTACTGCTGTTGTTAATTCTGGTCCCTCATGTATCACATGTGCTATTGGGTCAAACATCGGTGAAAAATCACCTGGATGGGGCGAGTGAGCTGCTGCCGAACAGAAACAAGTGCAGCAGAGAGGGCGAGGAGTTCAATACCGCCGGCTGTTTTCATTGTGAATCAGAAGTTTTTAAATAGAGGCTATAATCCTTTTTTCTCCTTTGTGACTCATTCTCCTCCATGGAGGGCGGGGGTGAGTAGTACAGAACCATCCATTTGGATATGGATGGAGGCCGAGAAGGATGTATGTTACAGATGAGCTGTTAATGCTAATGAGCTGTAAGTGAATGAAAGATGGCTAGTGAAAGAGGAATCAATGTTATATTGGAGTTAATGTTATATTGGATGTGAGGCTCTGGTGACTCTGTGCAGCCCCTCTGAGGCACTGCTCTGGGGCAGGAGCAACACTCGCTCCCCTCCACCTTTTGGGGCCCCTGGAGATCCCAGAGGCCCCCTGTGTCTCTGAATGTTACTGTTCCCACTGCACGCACAGAATCCTTCACCTCCACGTTGCGCACGGAGGGGTCTGGGGCGGCTTCAGGCCAGTCAGGCAACTCCTGGTAGCCGCCAGCCTTGGCATTCAGCAAGTGGGACAATGAACCCAACTGGAAGTGGTCTCGATCTGCAAAAGCACAAAAAAGGAACCGTGAATGTAAATCTGCACGGGCAAACAGAGTTAAATGAAACACCCAGGCTACATTGTTACACCTCTTATTATTTGTTTATTTGGGGGTAATCGTGGTCAAATTTTTGGACGTACAGTTGATTTAAGTAGGAATTAGTTAGTTAGCTGTGGCCTACATTTGGGAAATTGCCAACATAAAAAGTATGTCAAATTAGTTAGTAGCTGCTCCCTCTTGCAATGTATCCATAGATGTACGGACAGCTATCACTGGATTACTTTGATACTTAAAAACCTAAAAATATATGGATGCTCAGGCAAGCTCTGGAGTGATAAGCATATTTCTTTTAGGATTTCTAAGCAGATCTGTCTCATCTCATCAGATTTGAAGTAGTTATGACTGGAAGACAGAGTTCAATGTTTGATGATGTTAAGAGTTTTAAATTACCTGATTTGCCTCTATGAGCTGTGAGTCACAGCCACTGCTGCAACCGCTCATCATTATTAGGCCAAAAGGGTTGATAAGAAATTCTTATTGGTTGTCTGAAGAATTATAGTGCGACTGTGTTAGCTTTCAGTTCTTTCTAAGCTGTTATCAACCGAGGATTTTAAAATGGCTTCAGTACCTTTAAATGGAGACTCGAGGACTGGTGCAGGTTTGAGGGCGAGGAACAGTTTCTTCGCGTACTTGCTGAGGGCTCCGCTCTTCTCGGTGGGTACGATGAGCTGGCGAATGAAGCGCGCCCGATCTCGGATGTCGTAGTTCTGGTCGTACTTGGCCAAGTTGAGAACATACTGTGTCAACAGTTTGGTCTGCGAGAAGAAAGAATATGAAGGACGTGTTGGATGAAGACAGTACAAACAAGAATACCCATTATCTGATGTGTGTGTGTGTGTGTGTGTGTGTGGCTGTGTTTGTGGATGGGTGCTTGAGAGTTGTTGAGTGAGGAGAAACTTTATGAACTTGGTCAAACGCCGTATATGACAAATTCTTAATTTTGGCCTCACAAAGTTATTTCTTTCTTTGTGTAAAAAACATCCGTTGGCTGGAGAGACGCTTTGTGGTACGAGCAGGATTCACACTTTTAGTAGTAGTAGCTGATAGAGGGTTGCTAGGTGGTTGCTATGGGGTTCTGAGTCATTGATAGAGGATTGCTAGGTGGTTGCTATGGTGTTCTGAGTCGTTGATAGAGGGTTGCTAGGTGGTTGCTGTGCTAGTGGAAAGAAACTAAGCACATTCACTCAAGTACTGTACTTAAGTACAATATTCAAGGTATTTGTACTTAACTTGAGTATTTCCGTTTTCTGCTGTATTGTAGTGGAGTACAGGAATAATTGAAACTGTGTTTTATTCCTTGAGCCCGAGCTAGCCTGGTATATCACAATTATTACAATTTATATGTCTGTTTCTGCACTGAATCTTGGTAGCACTGCAAATACTATTAAGTCATTCATCTTTTAAAATAGTAGTGATAGAAAAACATGCCATTCATACCTGTTTGGAGTTGGTGAGATAGAGCTTGGCAGCCAAATTGATGATTTGTAGCTTAACAATGTCCTCCTCGTTAGTGAATGACTTGGCCATCTTTCTCAGGACATCCGGGGCAATCTTAGGTACATGCTCACAGTATTCCCCAATCAGCCAGAGTATACTGGCCCGCGCCATCGGCACCTGAGAACAATGCAAATTAAATTAAAATGTTGTGTACATACCTCTTTTACTGGTACTAGACAGGGCCCACGATCTTTTACAAGCAAAAACAGTAAAAACATAAAGTACAACTCTTGTTTCCTGTAACCAGAAGCTCTAAAGCCAGACAATGACAGCACTTTGTGAGTGAAACCCTCACCTGGATGTTGTCCGTTAGTTTCGCCATGTGCTTTATGATGTCGCTGTGCTTCTCCGGTTGCATCTGCAGCAGCTTCTTAATAACCACCACAGACTCGGCTACGACTAACTCTGTACAACAGGAGGAGAGTCGCTCATTGAAATCACAAATGAACAGTGAATTGAGTGAGTTACTAAAATGAATGCAGTTCAAATTCAGTCCCTTATTTATTCTCTGAAACAGGTTCTCCATTTTTACTTATTATTTGTTAAAAAGTTGACTTAGTTAAATTACTTTTAAAGTTAAATTAAATTATTTAGGTACGTGAAATCTCTGTCTTATCTAATCTTCTAAAACATGTTATCTTCTGCTTCAAATTGTTTGATTATCTACAAATGAACTGATTAAATTACCCTATTAACCAAATATGCGATACTGCTACTGTACATACTGCAATATTTATATAAGACTTACCGTCTCGGTTGGACAGCAGCTGCACCAGCCCGTTCAGACACGTGTCCCTCACCTCTCCGATGTTGGTAGCACAGCGGCCAATGGCTTGGATTGTGGCAGCCACAAAGTCTTTATCCATACTTTTAATGTATGTCTGCCGGTAAAAACATACTGAATCAGTACAGTAATACATAAAGGCCAATCTCTCCTCGCTCTTCACAAAACATCCCATGTTTCACTGTACCTGAAACTCTCTGAGAATAGTGGAAATGTTTGTCTCATTGGCCAGATTGGTGAGAACCTCCAGCTGCAAACGACAAAAAAGAGAATCAACACTGCAGAAACAATTCAAAAGGGGAATATAAAACTCTATTTACAATAATTACTCTCTAGCTTTTTCCTGCCAAAGATTGCACTTTGGCAAAAATTGTCCATTTTGCATTTTTAATTGATGTCAAGGTCAACATCCTTTGGTTGAGTGTTCAACATTGTTGTTTCTTAAATAAATTACCTGTTCACGAAACTCACTCTTACGATTACAATTAGTATTTGTACTTGCTTTTTTTTTTTCAGTTAAGATCTTAAAATCATGTAATTGCTCCACTTGTTCCATGAAATGCTCCAATAAGTGTGAGTGGGTTCAGAATAACTGGGGATAAGATAAGCTGCTGATATATACTGTGTTCTGTACTACCATGCCTCAGTAGTTGAGAGAATGAATAGTCTTCCACTGATTCAGCGTTTGGATTAAAGAGAAAGGATAACAACACAATAGAATAAAAAATAACCTTTAGGACTTTTATCTGGGTTGGGTCTGTAGAGCGTATGTAGAAACTCTTCAGGTACGGTTCAAACATCCCCTGTGAGACAGGAAGAGAACAAACCTGAGTCAATCTGCAGCTCCATCAGCATTTGATTTCAATTCACACTCACAAACAAACAACATAAATACCACCAGGTGTAGCTCACCCTTCTCTTAATCGTCATTGTTGCCACGTTCTGAAGAACAACATACTGGACTTCACTGGAGGAGGAGACAGAAACAGATGGATGGATGGTGAAACAGAGTAGGATCGATTCAATAAAGTGTCAATCCCTTCTCCTTCCTTGTCTCCTTGACCTGAGACACCCTGAGGCCACATTATAATTATTACGCTGGTTAACAAAAGCAGTGTGGTACTCTTAAAGGTCAGTTCATTGGATTTTTTTTACATAAAGCCTCAATGTATACATTTAAAATGTGCTAAAGACCTGCTGAGTAAAACGAATGAATGAATGATAAATCAATAAAGCCTGACTGTACTAACCTTTAAATTAGATTGAAGACTTTTTTATTTTTATGCATTTATTTTTTATCATCTTATCATTTATGTTTATTTTAATCATTATACTTCATGTACTTTCATATTTTTAATCCTCTTATCTTTTACTACTCATAATGCAGCAAAGCTTTTCTCTTTATTTTCCCCATTCTGCCCATTCCTGAGTCAAATAAAAGCAAACTACTGACCACAAAAAGCTTCTTCCTGCCATAACTACTCTAACAAAAGTTTGCTGTAAACTTTACATCTGCGTTTGTTTGTGGACGGTCTAGTACACAAACAAGACCAATACAAATGGTTTGAACTAGCTTTCTTGTTAAACATCTAGATATTTTTTCTAACCAACGTGGTTGTAATGAGACACCTCTGACTCCATACAAATAATTAAGTATAATATTGTACAGTACAATGTATTTCTGACAAACCCCCCACAGAGAGATGCTGCTGTTTGCTTGCCGCTGAGTGATGATCCCATTACAGCAAACCCAGAACCACAAGAGCACTTGTTCAATAAGAAGCTGACAGTCTGCAGGACTTACAGCCAAGAGGCCAACTATGTGCCATCATCACTCTCTATGGTTTATGCTTTCATGTTTACCTCAGCCTCACTGAGCTCCCTGTTTAATTTCACTTCCTGCTTCGGGGCTGTGGAGATTTATTTTACTACCCTCACTTGTCTTTTGTTTTTGTCATACTGTTTTCCACTTCGATGAGTTTCACGGTCCTTACAGCTCTCTCTTATCACATTCAGCTGTGCATTTTTTTTTGGCACTTCAACTTGTTTTTTGTCCCTTTTCAAGTGAGTTTCTTGAATGCAGCTCTCATTATTTTTAAGCTTAGCTCCATTCTCAGCCACAATAATGCTGTGAGATGGCTCTAGACTACGCTGCGATACATTTTGGAATACGGTGCAGCCAAAATCTATGGTATAGCAATATGAATGGACAGTTTATTTCAAATTATAAACAGTAGTGATAGAAAATATGTCTGCACACTGAGATCCACGAACGGAAATATTTACTATCAGTTTGAACACAATGAGCTTTCCAGCACCTTTAGAGAGATTTAGCTGAGTGGAGCTGTAAATTATAGACAGTAAAACTGACCTGTGGCTCCTCAGGAGACGGACCAGGGCCTTGGCGATCACCCCAACTTCTGCTTTAGGGGCAAGATGGAAATATAGCTGAGCCACAGCCATCACAACCTGGAATGAGAAAACAGACAGGAGGGATAAGTGATCACCAGCAATACAATCTCACAATATAAAATGCATTAAAAAGTACTATACTGTCCCTCTGAGTATTGTGTTCAATGCTTTGTTGTCCATCGGAAATTCATTAATTTTCAGTTCAGTCAGTTACCAATGTATCTCGGCCTTACACTGCCGTAGGTGGTGTAGATGTGGATGTGCTGAATATGCATGGAAGAACTAAAGCAAATAAAAGTTTTGCACTCTTTTTACAGAGCTCAGCTAAAAGTGAGAAGATTAAAATTCATCACAAGAAATAATCTGGCAACTCATTCAACAGAAAGGGTTGTGTGTGTTTTTTTAATCTTTTAAGCACTCAATTCGCATATTGCACAAAGTTAAACATGGATTCACTGGTTTTTTTTTGGTCAGACAGAAAAAAAAACATAATATTGATTACAATATAAAGATGTGGTGAATGTGTTAGCAAACAGAGCAACACTAGCATTAACTACAAGTTGTGTTTCCACCTGATGAATCCAATATTCACTATCTTTTAGGTCTGTTTTTGGTCTCCACCGACTCCTGAGGGAAATATCTGACTCTTGAGCTGCTAAATGCTCCACTATGTTCACCAGCAGGGTCTCTAACTGTGCCTGTGTTCCGTTTGGTGCTGAGCAGGTTAGTGTACAGTGGGTTTTTAGAGCTTTTTCTCCATAACAATCCTCACTATGAAGCTCCATAAAGCTAAGTGTGATAATTCTCCGTAGGTGACAAGCGACCCCTTTCATACTGTCACACTGTTTTTCAATTGATATATTGTTAGAATAAAAATACTGGCTATAGATGCTTTAAGTAGTACGTGTAGCAGTAAGTTTTTACTTCCAATTCCCCCCTAAGAAGCACATGTATGTGGCATTTTACCAAAGGTAACAACAACTGAACTATTTAAAGACAGCAGGGCAAAGGTAAACCATTTATTAATTACTTAACAGGCAAACAATAAGCCGTATAAACTAAATGCAAGATAAGGAAACACATTTGTTGTCTGAGGAACAGAGTTAATCTTGAACCGCATTGAAGCAACAAGCTTGATTACAGCGGTACAAAGGCAGAATAATGTGTGGCGGGTGAATTTCATATCATCTAACATGAAACAAAACAGACATTCCAAGGTGACCACAGAAGCACTAATGCAGTGTGATGATTAATTTCCTTTGGGAAATTATCACTTGTCCCTATTTCAGAGGGAGAGGTCAGCTCTGATTAAGTGTCTTGCTCAGGGACACTTCAGCTGGACGGCTGCTTGTTAATAAGACCTCAGCTACTAACAACACCGACCTGCTGCTCAATGTGGAATCATGCTGGAGAGAGAGTGATTATGGTCTCTACCATGGCAACTGAGTCAGAAGAAGAGCTAACGGGCTGTGTGTTATACTGATGTGCCAAAGAGCAGTGGTCTCACAGCTGCGTTGCGGCTCTGCAGGAGCGGCTTGGTGTTCCTCAGCAGCAGCCGGTGGTCTGGGTCCATCACATACGGCTTCCTCTTGGCCATGGCAGGAGCCTCGGCATTCTTTTCTTTCTCCTCCTCATCCTCGTCCTCATCTTCATCTGAGCCATAGAACGTCTTGTCCCCTCCGCTTCCCTCCTCCAGCAGGGACTCCTACAGAGACAGAGGGGATTAAACTGTGTGTTGGGGGACAAACACGCTAAGGAAATGTTCTTGCATGGGAAGTTGTTATTGGCTGTTAAAAAAGTCTCTGGAAGTCACCAGATGGTAATTTGCTCTTGAATATATTTATATGCTGGTAAAAAAGAGGAAACACTGTGTATGAGAAGAATTACACCTCCTCGTTAGACAAACACGGAGTGCAAAATTGACTATTTGTCACCGCATGAATTGTAAAAGCAGACAATAACAATGTTCAATTTGTTCCTGGTTGCTTATGAGAAAATAAGCCGACAGGTGGGTCTGAAAAACTGATTAAAAAAATCACCAAGTTGGCAACGTTGAAAAAGGACAATAATGGTGGAATAGTTTCATTTTGTACCTCTGCACAGTCACAATGGCACAACTGAAAGAATATAATTAATCCAACAAAATAATAGTTGTATTATTACAATAAATGCACATTTCTGTTGCACACTAATATCCTAAAATCCTATTCCTATGCAAATTACTTGTTGGGGACAACACACAACGAGTAAACTTAGTTTTATTAGTTCGCATGGACCTCTGTACCACACAATAATGAATCAAACACTTACAGTACATAGTCTTTTATATGATCAAATTCACTGATATAGTATACAGTGCACATAGTGTTTTTAAAAAACAGAGAGTAAAACTGTGGAAAAGGTATTGTAAATGTGGCAGTGCAAACTATATATTAACAGTTGCTTGTGAAAAAAAAAGACAATCAACAACAATTTTGATAATTGATTAATCTTCCAATTGATTGCCAATTGAATCTGTCAATTAACAGGGGGAAATTGCCAAAGACTTACTTGTTGCAGCTTCACACATGTAAGGATTTGCTGCTTTTGTGTGTTTTATTTAACTAGAATCTAATATTTTAGGGTTTTTTATTGTTGGTCATTCAAAACAAGCAAGTTTAAGACATCACACTGGGCTCTAAGAAAATGTGCACTGTGTTATCACATAGAAGAAATAAATACACCTTATTAACTACTGAGCCAGTGAGCAGAGGTTACACTTTTATAAAGTGACAAACATTTTTGGGACTGAAACCTGTTCCTTACTCACATTGATGTTTGGGTTGAGGAACTGGGTCCTGGCGTAGCGAGTCAGCATGTTGATGATGACGACCTGCCCCCACTCCTCCACGTCGATCAACAGGTTACACAACTTCCTGTAGTTCTTGTGGATCAGGTCAATGCGCTCCGGACACACCTCCTCAAATGCCATAACAACGCTTCCTGCCACCAGCTGCAGCAGGTGGTGGTGTTAGGATAATGTTATTTAATACCTTATGTCAGGACAGTACATGTAATCTATGAGTATCTAAAATTACATCTTAAGTTGAACAATTAATTTGTGAATGGCGACTGGATTCTACAGCTTGTTTTTTGCTATATTTTGGTTGGAAATTACAACAAGTTCTGCAAAAACTGCAATGTGAAAAGAAAGACTGCTTAAACAAATGATAAGCCTTGAAACAACTGAGGCATTGAATGCAATCTGGTGCTGTGCACAGAAGCTAGTTCGGATGTTTTGCGTACTCTGTGTTTTTCAAACTCGTATTTGCATTTGTTAATAAGAAATCTGGTGGAAAAAATACTGGATCAGTGGTGCAAAAACCCACCGTGGTTTTGTCAGCGAGGAGTTTCTCTATGACTTCAATCAGCTGGTCCTTCTGTTCTGGATCCAAACTGTCAGCAAAGGAGAATAAATCATTGAAATGCATGAAACAAGAAATGTTGTATAAAGAGTTAGGAATCATTTGTCCTTATAAACCCTACTCTCAAGTATAAAACAAATGGATTTTACTGCCAGAGCAGTGATGGATTTCTGGAGGATACCTTTTACTGTCATGAAAGGTTTTAATATCACTATGACACTAAGTCATAACAACATTAGTCTTAGTCTAGTGGTTCTCAAACTGGGGATCAGGACTCTGATCTGAATGATAAATTCTCAAAAATGTTCAAGCAATAACATATGTAACTAGTAGGCATCTTCCAATAAATACTAATAAGTAGTAAGTGACATTTCATGTCAGAGTTGACCATGCTGTCTTTACACCCAAAACAGGGAATTATGAATAAATATATTGCTTTGTATTTGGGGCCTCTGTACTGAATAAGTATCAGTAAGTTACCTGTAGAGTTTAGGAATCGCGTGAGCAGCTGTCTTCCTGACGTATGGGGACATATCAGAAGCAGCCTCTTTGATGGCCAACATCATTATGGGGACAATGATCGTGACTCGGATGCTGGAGAGGACTCGCAGGGCGCTGGCTCTGATCAGCTGGTTGGGATCCTGTAAAAGTAAACAGCAAGAATTTCTTAAGCAATATTGCTGCTTCTTGACGAGGTTTATATGGCTGACTTACGTGATTCATTCCAAAATGTGAGACTACAGCAATGTGAGGATGTACTTCTGTGCTTTGAGCTAAATGCTGACAGTGCCAGTACTAATATGCTGATTAGAGTATAGCATTTGCTAATTATAATTATCACAGAACACAACTGAGGCTGATGGGAATGTCATTAGTTTTGCAGGAATTTGATCATAAACCAAAGTATTATAAATTAAAATTTGGGCCTGATAAAAGAGATCAAGTTATTAGAATTTGTTCTCTGGGGATCTTGAAAACACCCCGAGGATAAATTCAATCCATCCTATACTCAAAACCATAAAGGTTAACCTGGTGGCACTAGGAAAAATGAATGGATCACCAAAATATGTAGGATTCATCCTCTGGGAACCATGAATGTCTGCACAAAATTCCATGGCTCTCCAATCATTGTTGATATATTTTAATCTGGAGTAACCTGGAAGCTCATGGCTAAACACATACAGCAAATCCTTATTTTCTGAGCTTTATAACTTTACACCCTCAGTGTTTCTTTCTGTACAATTCTGAAGGAGCTATCACTTATGAAAACTGCTGTACCTTCAACCCTCGCTGAAACGTGGAAATGGAGAGCAGAGCGAGATCCTGCTGCTCCTCGGCATATCGCACCAAGTAAACATAGACCAGCTTCTTCACCTGTAGGGAGGAGCAGTGAGAGGGAAACAGGCCAATGGAAAAAAAACTGATTTAATCCAAATTATGTAGATTAGTTCAATTATTTTCACAGAGATAAATCTAAAGTGAAGAGATAAAGCAAAGTGATAAAAACCTTAAAAAGAGGAGAGGAACATTGCAATTTTGTTCAGGTGAGATAAAGCCAAACCCCCTCGGCGCTTTTAAAAATGTGACAAGATCATGCATAAATTACAAGCAAGCTAAATAAGAAAAAGCCTTAAGGGCAGAAAGCAGCTTTTTTTACCACATAAAACTACACAAATTGCAGAAAAGGAGCAAATAATATGTGACGCAAAATGGAACTTGGTTCATTACAAACCTCAATGTTTTTACAGGCCACATTTTTCACCACAGCAGGGAACAGATCCGATGCATTTTTACCTCGGGCGATCATCTGCAGAGAAAACACACACACACACACACACACACTAATGAGAAATAAGGATTTCATAAGGTGACAAGTTTTGAGGAGTTTCAATCACTTGCAGCTTTTTAAAGTTTTATTCCAGCTCCTTTTCATGCTTTTCCTTCCTTTTCATCTCCTCAGCCCTGCAGGGATGATGAATGAAGAGATGGGTGTGGAAGAATCTGACACAGATTGTGAATATTTAACAGCTGACTGCGCAGTTTGTATCTCTTACCGCTGTAGTTACATCATTCAGAACCACCTTCCGTTTAAGTCTATTACAGTTTCATTTTTAATGTGATCCGCCTCTCTCATGGAAGCGTTGTTATACTGAGATCTTTCCCATCAAAAGGATCAATCAATGAAATCAAGGTCAGTACAGAGAACAAGCTTTGGGTCCTTACGGGTGTCTGAATTAATGCTGCATGCTGTGTGCGTGGTACATAATGACAGCTTTTCTCAAAGCTTTCCGAGGCTTTGTCCTTCACTCGACATGCAGCCGCACCTGCTGATCAGTTGCATCCCAAAGTAAACATTATTTATACTCACAGCCACGATCCGCTTCATTGCCTCCAGCTTCAGGGAGTCTTTGTTGCTGTCCAGCATCTCCTTCAAGTCGTCATGTCTGAGGGAGGAAAACACTCAAAATTAGCTCACAGCATGGCAGCACAGGAATCAACAAAAGACTCTGATTACCGTGGCCTCCAACAAGAAATACAGACCTGTTTTACAATTTCCATTCATTGCTCAAAATTGATCAAAGTCTACAAGTGTGACCCAGAAATAATTCTCTTTGAAGTAGGAAATCCAGTTTGCAAAATGTGGAAATCTTTTAAACTGCAGCTCATAAAAGCGGGGTAATTGGAAAGTGACATAATCGCTAAAACATGTTGACATCAGAGAAAGTATAGATATTTCAGAAGGGATGGATTAAGAAACATCTCTCTATCAGAAGTGTTATGTTGAACATGTACCCCGGTACAACTGTAAATCAGCCTGTAGGTCTGTTAGTATTATACAGGCTCGTTATTGATGCTGAAATGATCAGGCGATCAACCGAAAATGAATCAGCAACTATTTGATAATTGATTCTAAAATCCCTTTATTAAACACACATGTCAAACAGTGTCTTGTTCCCAGCCTCCCTCAAATGAACAGAAGAATCTCTTAAATATCCCTGTATGTTTGATATATTTGAGGGAAACAAGCCATTTGAAGAGCCTTGAGCTTCACAAAAATGTGCAGTTTTTCTGTCGCAAATCTGACATTCAATCAATTAATTGTCAGATTACCTACAGAGTAACTGTCATATTGTCTATTATCCATTATTGTTAAACCTGTGTGTGCCAATGTGCTATTTAAATATAACTGCATTACTTACAATTACTTTACATATAATTAAAGTCAGTCAAATTAGTATCATGGGAGCTGAAACAATAAGTTGATTAACCAGGAATTATTTTCTATGTATTTGTTTTTTAAGTCATTTTTGGAGCAAAAAAAATACCAAGTTTTTTAATGTTACCATAGCTTATGTAATATTAAAATTTGATATCTTTGGCTTTTGGGCTGTTCGTCCATTATATCAATAAGGAAATACCTTAAATCTGATGTACAGTAATTATCACTGATGAACATTTAGACACACCAACAGATGTTTGGCTTCTATGGTCAAAAAGAAACAGTTAACTAACAATGCTAATGTCACAATGACAATGTTAATATATAATATAGGAATTATAGTTATAGGAATGTCAGCTTATTAGTTTTACAGGATTGGTTGTTTCAGGGGATCACTAAGGTTATTAGAATTTATCGTCTGGGCACCGTTGATATCTGCAATCCATCCAATAGTTGTTGTATCTCAGCCTCTGGACTAAAAAGGAGGTCACCTAGTGAGGCTATAAAGTGTCCTATTTCTCAAAGTAAAGTATCAGAAAAAGTACTGTGTTGGTATCAGAACTGAAATGATACCCAGCCCTTAAAAAAAAGGGAACACCTACAGTTTTTGTTGTTTTCCAGTTTTATGAGGAAATAAGGAACAGCTGTCTCCTCTATCCACACACAGGCTACAGTAACAGAGGTTAACATGTAACTGTGCAGCCATGTTCATCCATCCTCCTTTTCAGAGGCGATGGGAACAGACCAGCTAGCTCACACAAGCGAAGCAGGATCCTTGTCTGAGTTGATCTAAGCTGACATCTCCACCCTGCTGTACAAACACACACTACACACCCATTTTTTTCCCTGTTAAAAGGTTTTGAGTTTTTTTTGTGGGAGGCTTTCCCTACCTGAATAGAGAGTCTAAGACAGAGTGATTTATAAGCTGTACAGATTGTAAAGGCCCCTGAGTCAAATTGTGATTTGTGGGCTGCATAAATAAAATCTGATTCGACTTGACATAAGGAACGCCACCAGTTTCTACCAAACCTGGCAGGAGGAACCCGCAGACAGCACCGGTTAGTCCGAGTGCAGACAGGGTGACTGCTACGGCTGTCAAGATAAAGACGCCAGCCTCATTGCATGTTGAAATACTGATTGATGACATTTAAAATCAGATATTCAGGCTCTCTCTCTATTGTCAAGAAATGGAGACAATAATTACTTTTCCTAATTCATAAATACATGTTTCATGTACACCAAAGATAAACAGCTAAAAACACGTTATCCATCTGCTCCTAATGAGTTTATGGATGGCACAAATTGTTATAGTAATATATCTCTAATCAGCATTAGCGTTTAAGACAGATTAAGACTCAGTTATTTATTTATGTCTTTATGGTTGTCACAATGATATATTATAACACTACTACCTTACTAGTTCACAAATACTGTGGTTTCCTTGTGAAGTGTCTGTCTTTGTGTCAGTCTGTGGGCAAAAAGGAAGAACCAACTAACTGAAAGAGTCCAAGATTAAACTTTTCATTTGGAGGTGTGGGAATAAAGGTAGGAGTTCTGTTAGTGATGGGCGGGGTGATTAAACAGCTGCCGAGCTGCACATTTCCAACTAGTTTCCAAGGCAACAAAGGGTGCAATAAAATTAAGTTAAGTGATTTCCTGCCTTCCTCTAGCGCCTTGACAGTTTCACACCATGAGAGACTGGAGGTCTGTGGTGCTGAGCAGTGGAAACATGGTGACTACAGGCTCCTGATACATGCCACTCACTGCTATGTAACAGGTGGATACAATGCAATTCAGACGCTGGTCATATCTTATATAAATGTTCATTAGTAGGTTATCTAAAAAAAAAAAAAGGCTTGTTTTGTTCTGAACAGTTCAAATCATCCAAATGTGGTGCATAAATTATCTGGACAAGCCCTAAACTGAGCTTTTTAATCTATACTATACTTAGTATAGATACTTTAAATTACTATACTTAAATCATGGCCATATTTACTGTTAATTAGTCTATAATCATAAATAAAGTTTGGCAGAATTCGTCCTTGAATGAAGTCCTATTAAATGTGTATTCTGAAGCTTATCGATATTCAGAAACATTAAAGTAAAATAACACATTTAGAAGACATTGTACATATTCTCTGAGTACTGATCTTAAAGTCTGCTCAAATGTGATAACTTTTAACTAGCTACCCATTGTGACTGGAGCCTATGAACTTTTTTACTTTTCTGTCCTACATTGTAGTGAATAATTCAAACACACTGAAACCCACATGACAAATAACTTTCCAAACTATTTAATCCAACTGTCACTGAGTTAGGAGCTGAGGTAGGGTATACTACTGTTCCTGTTTCATCTGTTTGGGTTGTGTGACAGCAGTGAATGGAGGCCTTGCAGTCTGGGAGGAGGTGGCCACTGCAGAACACGGTTGATTTATCACGACTCTGCCTGAGTTTGAGTTTGCCTGACTGTGTTCGTGAGCGCGTGTCTGTGCGAAGAAAGATTTCTGCTTTCGTCTCCATCATGCATCAAAGTGTTAATAATTTCATTGCATGAATAATATAGTTCACACTGTCACACACTTCAAAACCTAAATTCATCAAAGAGTGTCAAATTAAAACCTGACGGTAGCTATAAAATGCTTTTTGTGGACGGATTATTTTTGGACGTGAACAGCGAACTGACGCTGGTTTCTTGGTTACAAATATGTGGCTGTGTCCCAAAACAAATTAAAAAACAAACTCTGATGCATAAATGCAAAGACAACTTGCCCAAAGCACCGAAAGACCAGACATGAGGATGAGTAACACTAATGCTGATTTCCAGCAGAAAATGATGATCCCACTGGTTCATTTCTGCCTGCGAAATCGTGATGATGGGCTGCAGCCCGTGGCCAAGACTCCAGAAATGTGAACATTTCCATCAAGTAGTCGATTTATTACAGCCTGAAACAACCTCCATCCACTGCCTTTGATGTAAAGTTGATAAAAAAGTGTTTATCTTAAAGTGACAACTATTAAAAGAAAACGTCAAACCCAAAACACCTAAAAGCACCACAGCTAGTAGATATATCTTACAGTTCTATATGTATTTCTCTTATTCCTACGGCCACTGACAGGTTATGCACCTTATACACATTATACACATTATGACCACCAGGGTGCCCAGGTGGTCATAATGTTATGGCTGATCCGTGTATGTAATAGAGAAACAATGGAATTATGGAGTGAAATCTGACCAAGACTCAAGTCTACAGCCATGCCAGTGCCTCCATGAGATGTCTTACAGTAGACACAGCGGTGCTCTGAAGTGAATGCTAACGTCACTATGCAAACATCCTGATGTTAAGGTATTTAAATACTGTTTACCATGTTCACAATTTTAGTTTAGATCATTGACAGTATACTGTATATAAGGTTCACACTTGGTTTAGATGTTAGCACGCTTAACACAAAATACAGTTTGGTTTGGGAATGTCACAAACTAAACCATTGTACAAAAAAACTCAAATTAAAAATACTAACTGACTAAACTAACTGAAAACTTGATGGGATTTATTGCCATCTAGCGGTGTAGTTGAAGATCGCAATTTTGTCGCTTCACTCTCCCCTTCAAAGCGCGAAGGAGAAACTACGGTGGCCGCAAAACACTTGAAAAACGCAAACGTCCCTATCTAGAGCCACTGTTTGGTTTGTCCCATCTGGGCCACTATATAAACATGGCGGACTCCATGGAAGGCGACCCGAAGCCTCTCTATAACAGGCTCAATTTAAGGTAGGGAAAACACATTCTTATTTTCAGGTGATTATCTACTAATGAAAACATACCTATGAATATTATATTCCTTTTGTGTCAATAGATCCTCCTGTTACACACCGGACAAACAACAACAAAGTTGTTGCAGTTCGACCTGACGGAGACATGAATATACCAAATTTCATGACAATCCATATAGTTGTGGAGATATTTCACTCAAAACCAAAACTGTCAACCTGGCAAAAAGAAGAAATATCATTCATACATTAGGATTCATTCTCTGGGCACCATGAATGTCTGTAAACCTCATGACAATCCATCAAATATTGTTGGACCTGGCAGACAGAACACTGCAGTAATCAGTATATCACCATCAACTGCAGGCATCACATTTTAGCGTCTGAGCTTCTTTCAAGAGACAGTTTTGCACTTAGAAATCATACAGGGGAGAATCTAATGTAAGAGTCAGAGTAGCCTTTTTCCACAGCCTCATTGAACCACACTGCAGCATGATGTGGCACTGACCTTGTTCTTAGTATGCTCGCACTCTCTTTCCCTAAATGCAAGAAAGCTGAAAGCAAAGACCTCACATCAATTCTCTCGATGTTATCAACAGGCAGGAAACAGGAAATCATTAACTGAATCAATATTTGCGGGCCAACTTGACATGTAAATTTCATATTTTAACAGACACGTTCAATGTTTTTACCTGCTAAACGGTACAGTAACTTACCGACCAAAGGCTTAATTTGTTGTACAGCTTTCGTCTATTTACCACCTCCATCAGCCTCACTAATTAATAAAGTGACAGGAATGCATGTGGCTTGTTTGATGACAAACAGGCCTTTTGAAGATCTAATTAAAACTGGACCTGAATACACTGATTACATTTGCTGCAGCGGTGGCCAAACATTAAACCTGTCAAAGTGGAATCATCAGCAATCTGCACCCACAGACAAGTTACACATGCATTATTAGTAATAGTAGTAGTGTAGTGTCAGTAATAGTGGGACATATGGTTGCTTACAAACCGAGCAATGCCATTACCACTATAGGAAAAGGTGACAACAATTTAACAGCCTATAAGGAAAGGAAAAAAACAGAGTCTCTTCCACCTTTTTATACACTAAAACACTTCTTTCCTACAAAACAAAGCAGTTTTAGGAAAAAGGTAACAGCCCCGGGTACTTTGCAGTCTATCTGCTCGACCATGATGTATTTTAACAAACTATTAATGCCACCTCAGTGAATTATCTTAGAAATAAAGCCTCATCTTGCACAGGAAAAACAACCCTCTGACTGGGTTCATACTACTCCGCTCATGCCCAAAGGGCCAAAAGTAATTCTGCACCAACGCTGGTTCTCTAATTTCTTTGGATTTTGTCCCGTCCTGCCGAACAACAGCTGAATTTACAAACAGCTCTGAATTATTTAACCCGCTGTGGTACAACAGAGTACACCGCCGGTCAGGTTACCTGGCACCAAAGCCAAGAGATCAGCAGCTGGAAAGTCTCCATGGAAGTAGGCCCAGTGTTCAATGATACAACTTCAGATGTCATTCTGTTCACCAAGAACAGAGCTCTGCAAGACTGCAATAACATTAAAAGGAGTAGATGTGAGAATGTATTTGCATGAATCAGAGGAAAGTGAAAGACTGAAGAGTTGCAGCTTGCATTTATAAGTAGCTGCTGAGGCTGTTTTACATAAGCTGACTGTTTTAGCCTGAAGTCTATTGTTTTTTTTGGTGTGACATATATATACGCCTTCTTAAACCAACCAGAACTTCAGTAAAGCTCATCCTTTACAATAAAAACAATATAGTTCATATGTATTTAAAAGTGTATTTGGCAAATCTATTTCTGAAGAGCACCACTTTTGATGTTCATCTTAACGGTTCACAGTCTGATTAATTAGGGTACAGCAGCTGTTATGGCTTTTTCATGCTATCATAGGTCTGGTTAATCAAACAGCAAGCAGATATATATCTTATGATAACAGCATCACTGCAGAAAAGCTATTGTTCGTAATGTGTATGTGTGTGTTATGTGGCATATCAGGAAACTACCTATCTCCCCTCCTCTAATTTCTTTACCAAGGTTATTCACTTTTCTTCCTGGCCACAGCTTCTTCAGAGGTCTAATACGAGTGCTTTCCATCTTTTTTAACTTGTGTGCCATTAAAGCGAAGCACAGCTTTTGTCAGGTTTTTATATGAACAGTTTTATAAGGCCAACAGCCCATAATAAGAAAACACCGATTTCAGAAGAAGAATTTTTGTTGAAGAAATATATTTTTTCTTATTTTCTGTCCTGTTAATTGCCTTTCGACCCTCAAGACTTATCTTGTGACCCTTTTCGGGAGCACCGACCCTCAGGCTGGAAACCACTGACCTATTCTCTTATTATTCTGTTCGTCCAACATTTTAAGCATCCAGTTGCACTCATCATAACCTGCCCTCAAATACAACTGTAGCACGGTGGGGTTGAACAGATCTGGATCCTCCTGGACTTTCCTACCGCAAAGGTTGAGTTTGGAAACTGCCGCCACCTCCACCACCTTCCTCCAGGTGTGCTCGTTCCTCATGGTCCCCGCCACCTCCTCCTCCTCCTCCTGTACCTCCAGATCGGAGGTGGCGCAGCTCATCGGGCTGCAGGGCGCTGTACCAGGCCTGCTGCACGCCGTCAGGGGTTAGCACGGGGCTCTTGTCCTCCTCCTGGCCCTGGACCTGACTCTGCACAGTCTTCACGATGTTCACCGCGTTCACCGGCAGCTGCAGCAGCTTCTGCATGGTGGTCATGTTTGAAACTTGGTCTGAATCAAAAGCTTGAGAAGCAACCTGTAGAATCCCAGGTATATAAAGTGGAAAGGCTGCAGTTTCTAAATCAGATGGACGAGTCTGTGAAATTCTCCAGATGCTCCCCAGATAGTTTTCACACAGCGCCGAGCAGCTTCAGTTAGACTCTGTGTTTTAAACACTCCTTCCCTCCGAGGTTAAGTATATCCAACATTTCTCGCACGAATGATGCAACAACCCTCTTCAGCAATGCTCCAGTGCCTGCTGAAAGACTTCTCTACCGAGGCAACGTGGATACACTTTCCGATCCAAACCCACCAGAGCCCAAGTGCACTATAGGTCTTTTTTTCTTTCCTCTGTTACTGCTGATTCTGGTAGGCTCCAGTAAACAACAGACATCAGCTGCTCAGGTAATGATGCTCCAGAAGAGGGCGGTGGAGCTTTATGCGAAGCCTCTCCTCTCCCGATCGCTGCCCACGTCATGTTGCTGACCGCCCCCTTCTTGCCTCCGTGTGGAGTTCAAATATTGTCCGACATATTCTGAACTCTTAACAATGACACAGCTTTCCCATCTTTTGCCACGGTTCACTCCCCCCGCCCCCCCCCCCCCCACCGGCCCCTTCGTGATTGCCATCTCTGCTCCGCCTCTTCCACATTAACAGTGCAACTCTTCACTGCCTCATTCATGTCTCTCATCCGCGCTTCCTTTACGGCCATCCTTTTCCTTTTGCTAATCCGGTTTTCTGAATACCCGCAGATGCTTTAAACACTCCCTCTTCATTATGTTAAAAAATGTCCCTGGCCGTTGTCATTTTAAATATCCTGTTGAAGGTGCCTTTTTTTTTTTCTCGTCTTACATGACTCAGCTTTTCTTGGCAGTGTCCGTGATTGAGGACAACCTCTCTCTCTCTCTTTGTCTCTCCCACTCATTGGTTTTTGGCTCGAACGAAAATAACTGCCTTGAAGCGCAATTCACATATGCTCCCCCTGTGATCTGTAACAGCTCAGTCAGGATTTGCTGAAATTTGTTAAAGATTAATAAGATTTTTAACCTGTGATGTCACCAGGAAATACACCCCGGGGCTGCAGCATTTAGAGCACTACATTGACCGTGACATTATAGACTAATGCTCTAAAAATGAATGCTATGTTGGATATAAAACAGAGAAAATGTCTTCCTGCAGTTGCTTTAGAAAGTATTTTTGAAAGTCTTTGATCTCAATTTTAGAACATGACTTAAAAAAACTAGTCTAAATAGTCTCCATATAACAGCATGAAAATGAAAAAACATCGCAGTCATTATGTAAAACATCCAGAGAATATCCAGTTCTGTAAATCTGTAATCATTCAGACAATAAAAGCCTGCTGCTGCCGACTATTTTTAAAAGCTTTTTTTTTCTCTTCTTTCTCTCAAAACTTTTATGTCTGATTTTGGGTGGAGTGCAGCTGTATCATATTCCCTAAATGAAAGAGGCTTACAGTAACAGGGTATCTCAAAAAGAATATGAATGCTTTCATGAATTAATAAACTCTAGCATGTATAAGTCCTGAAGCTGGATAATTCATATTCATCCCCTACTGGGACTACACTTAAAATTAAGCCTTTTAGCTTTAATGTGTTATCTTTAATGGTTTTTAAAATCCTGATGCAGGCATGTTTTTTCAAAGGAATAGTTGACTGACTCCACTTTTATGTCTGCACGCTAAATGAAAGGCTAAATCCTGCAGCCGGTCTCATTAGCTTAGCATAAAGAATAGAAACAGGGGGAAACAGCTAGCCTGGCTCCGTCTAAAGGAAACACCAACAGCTGTAAAGCTCATTAATAAACATGTTATATCTCATTTGTTTACTATATGTACAAAAAGTATAAAAACAACAATTTGTGATTTTCCGGTTGTTATGTGCCGAACTACTTGTTGGCTGGGTGCAGTGACTTCCTCTGCTGGTTGCCTAGCAACCTCATGGTAACAACAATAGTTTGCCATTCGGGAAATTTTCACTTTCTGGTCTGTGCAGTAAGGCTACAGCCAACAGCCGGCTAGCTTAGCTTAGCATAAAGACTGGAAACCGGGAACCTACGCGCCTGGATCTGCCATTCATCATTATTACACTCCAGTTTATTTTAATTATAAGCTGTCAAGTTGCTGGCAGGCCAGTTTCCAGGCTTTCAGCTAAGCTAAACTACTTATGTAACAATGCTTGGCAAGAAAGTGAAAAAGACCTCCTTTTTTGAGGGGCAAAGAAATCCAAAAACAAAATATGTTGTTCACAAAAGAACAAACATTTACACCGGTCAAAGAAAAGCCCACAGATTTCAATGAATCATCAGCCAAGAAGGGCAACCATCTGAAACCATCTCATGTAAAATACAAAACTACATTACTATGACGTTTGATTTTATGTATTGAGAATTAAATGTATCCCACACTAAAACTGTATACGGAAGAAACTGAGATCTTCAAGTTATTATTATTTCTTTAAGATTATTTTTGTGCATTTTATGTAATCTCAGGAGCTGGTCGAAAATGAAAAACCTGTATTAAACCTAAAACAGTCATTTCATGCAGAGCGACAGTTATTATTGAGTATTAACAACCAGATTAACATGGTTTGACAACTGAAGCAACATTTCACATCTGCTGTGTTTCCAAGGAGACAACAGTGAAGGTCGAGTCAGCACTTTCACTGCAATGTTTACAGACAAACCAGTTGATCTACCTTCACTGAGGAGACATCGACTTCTGCAAACACAGATCTACAGAATACACTTCAATCAATCACAAGAAGTTTAAAACTAACGACTAATGTTTGCCAAAGAGCCTGAAGGCAAAATCTCCTCCTCCATATCAAAAGGTCACAGTTCACATGCACAAATGCAATCCATCTTCTATGAACAATGAGCTCCCTCTGCTGGGGAGTTACGGTGAAGCAGTGGTATTTATTTGTGAAAAGAGCCGGTGATGCTACTGCACAGTTTCATTAGCAGTTTCAGTGGAGCCGTAGGGGGCAATAAAACAATAATGCAATGCCATTAGACATATTCCCAAACTAAGATACATGCATAGAGAACAGGTGTAAAACAAAACAAGGCGAGATGAAAGCAGACACAGATACACAAAACTCTAAAAGTTCATTCAACCAGAGCAGGAGGTCTAATGAACCCTTGTGTGGGTGTGCAGGGCCTTAAACATCTGTCAGTAACACAACATGGTATGTCAACAATGTACCCAAACTATATATATTACAATAGTATCTGATCAAAGCAGACCAGTGTAGCGGATACATTTTTTCAATGCCTTTTTCACAGAATACATTTCGTCATGTCACAGAAGAAAAGGCACAGGTGTAAATAATCGAATGAATTATGGATAAAGTCAAGTGAAAATGTCTGCTGTATGGCGTAACTGATGCGCTGAAAAAACTGGCTGTAATAACTTCATTATTCCTCTAAATGTTTGTGTACAAAAGCTGCTCTAGTAAAGGTCCAACTTGTGGCGGCTGGCTGGACCCTCAGCCCCATTATTGTCTCAGATGTCATCATATGCCAATGAAAATATGATCAACAACACTTTGTCTTGTCAGCCCGTAATTAGTTTGCATCCTAAAACTCTGTGCCAGCTGTAAATTAATAATAAATCCAATATTGTTCTGTTCTATAAACTACACATGCCATTTATTATCTGATATAATAGCCCCGTTTACACCAAATGACTCTTTGATGGTGCGCTTAAGGATCCAGAAGATTCCTGTTTTATGACACTAAATCAAAATCAGTTCTTCATTAAAATAACATCATGTCCATCAACACCTTTCTGTATCTGTTTGTATCTTTCTGTATCTGTTTGTGTCTTTCTGTATCTGTTTGTATCTTTCTGTATCTGTTTGTATCTTTCTGTATGTTTGTATCTTTCTGTATCTGTTTGTGTCTTTCTGTATCTTTCTGTATCTGTTTGTATCTTTCTGTATCTGTTTGTATCTTTGTGTATCTTGTTCCTGGAAGAACAAATTGTTCCTGTGCAGAAGTTTGCCTCTACAATGAGAAAGCTGTCGGTGCAGTTTGTTAACGTTGTGTTCCTGCTCTAATGAATAATTGATCTGTTCTTGATCAGTGCACCTTTGCTTTAAAAGCTCACACGTCAAAGTGTAAACTGCAGTCATGTCCCCAGAAAACCAATAAATCTTTAAATGTACATATGGACATTTGAGAATTATTAGTTTTTGTTCACATTGCATTCTGGTGGTTTTTATTTCAAAAGGCTGAACAGATTTTAGAGGGTTTCAAGGAGACATGATAGGCTGCCTGTTTATATATATAAATGTATGTCAGTGTGATATTTGCTATGCCACTCAAGTGCTCATCTTAAATTATCATTATTAAAATGATTAGAGCTATTAATTGATTAGTCAGTTGTAGGAGATTAATCTGATTAATTTTTTAAGTAACTTTTTACAGAAAAATGCCAGAAAATTGACGGTTGCAGACACTTAAATGTGACGGTTTGCTGTTTTGTTTGTTTCCATTATAATAGTAAACTGAATATTTTAGGATTAAGAATAGAGCTAGACCAATCAATGAGCTAGGCCAAAATTATTTATAAATATATATAGCCAATATTATTAGAAGAAACTGCAGTACAGGAATGCCAATCTGTCAGCGAGCACTGACACATGAGTTTTCAACTGTAAAATGTCCCATTCAGAACATATCTTAATCACAATTCTTTATATAAAACAAGCCTAAGTGTTCCACATAACGCTTGTTTGTTACTTATTTAAAAAAGAAAATCACTATCTGCCAATATATCACTATGGGATTAGTATTGTCTTCAAAGATCCAGTGTTGGTCGTAAGAACATGTTGTTTGAACTAAACAAACATTTTCTATCATCTCTGGTTGTGGGAACTTTTTTACTTTTTCTCCACATTTAAAGACCAAACAATTGACAGATTATTAACAAAATATCGACCAGATTAATCAATAATGACATTAGAGGTTAGTTGA